ATTGGGACTGATCGTTTTAGAAACAGAGCGGGAGAGCAGGAATCTGTAAGAAAATACTTTATGTTTAATGAATTATACTCCCCACTCTTTAATATTTTATTCAAATTGAGCGCTACTTCCTTTACATTTCTTGCTTTACTGCATACAATACCATCTCATAAATGCATTTTAAAAGTACTATGACTTTTAAAGATGTATTCTTCTCACACATAACTGCTTCAGATCACCAGAGGAATCTGAAAAGAATGTTGTGACAAAGCACAACAAAATTTAACTTCATTTACTGTGAATTAAATAATTATTTGATTATTTACTTCAGTTTTCTTTGTCAAATATTAAATAAGTGTCATAACTTGAAGCAAAACCAAAACAAAAGACACACACACATATACCTAATAGTTGATCTGACTTTTGGAATTTACTGTGTCATAATATAATCCTCCAGTTTATGTTTTTGAGTGACTAAAGGAACCAGAAAATGTGCCCCAGCCAAATGAAACAGTTTGATACCCAGTCAGCTCTGGGCCCAGCAGCCACTCTGACTCACGGGACACCTGGGGGTAGAGCAAGGACAGCACGTTTCTCAGAGTCATACTGCCTGACAGCTCTGATTTTTCCCCTTGTTTCATACCACCAACTCATCAAATTATGCTGTTCTAAGTCAGCATTGTTGCTTTAATAAACAACTCTGTTGCTCATCCTTACTCAGTTGCAGTGGAGACAACAGTTTGGAGCAGGTATGAGAGGAAGCTGGGCAGTGACGTCACAGCTACTCCATGCTGCATTTCTGTTGCCACTGAGATAGTTCAGGTGCAGCCTGATGACACAGCAGTCTACATTACTATGTCTGGACAGCTAAACATAGATTTTCTTCAAATAAACTGGAAGATATGGATTGTTACACCTGGAGCACATTTGTAAACACGTAACAACTGGGTGTATGAAAGGCATTTTGAGCTGGACCCATTAGGGAGAGGAGAATCAAATGCATTCTCAGACCTGTTTCCTTACAGAGAGTCACTCCTGTAACTGGCTGAAAGACCTCAACAGAGGCATAATGCAGAAGAGTGAACCTTATGAAATCCCCCTGAGTGCCATTACATGCCCTGCAAAGAGCAGCTGGATGCATGGCACCCAGAGAAATAAAGGCAATATATTTTATTTTTGGCAACACAGAGGTACAGTTTTAGGGCAAAAACTGTACCACTTGAAATATCATCGGGAGAATAAGGGAAAGTGACCAGTGTTCTATTTAACTTCAACAGACACAACTGTAGTCATTCATTTTCCCTTTAGTAATTTATAATTAACATGCCTCAGTAAAGTTCAACAGTGACAGGAGGCGCCTCTCGTGGGAGACACACCCCATTCTGACTTTTTGGGTATCATCAAAGACACCATACTGCTGCGATGCATGAATCTTTTCGTGGTCAATGTTAGCGTGAAGTGAAGCACACAGGGGGAGTGAGTTGTGAGGGGAAGCCTGGGGTTTTCACTACTTCTTCCCAATGAACCCAGTCTGAAAAATACCCTACATGTCCATCCTCACATCTGCCTGCAGCATCAGCAGCAACAAAAAGGACAAACTGTAGAGTTTGTGTGCTTTTCTTTACCAATTTTTCTGCACCATGTGTCTATACTTCCTTTTACGTTGCTCTCTGTTTCACAGGAACTCACAGTAACATGCACTGAGGCATAGGGAGAAGTGGCTGTCTTACAGCTGTGTTGCATTCGATCATGTAGGCTCAGGCACATTCAAAAGCATTCAGACATAGTTGCATATGTTCCCACATTCTAAAACTTTCAGCCTTGTATCAAAAACACAAGTGGCCATAAAGCTTTTAATTTGACTTTCTTTATACTGCATTTAACTGGTGGACTTAACCCAGTGGTGGGCAGCTCGAGGGGCGGTCTCCTGCAACATTTAGATGTGTCTCTACTTCAACACACCTGAGTCAAATAATGAAGTCATTAGAAGGACTCTGGAGAACCTGACTGCACTTAGGAAGTGATTCAGCTGTTGGATTCAAATATGTTGGACCAGGGAGACATCCAAGAGTTGCAGGACACCAGCCCACCCCTGACTTAACCTCTTCTTTGAACATCTGTAGTGACAAGTTAGTTTTATTACATAACTAAGGCAGGATGTATATTAAAAACAATCAGTGCTCATGTTAAAACAACATGCTTCTTTTGTGTGTGTGTCTGCATGTGTGAACACAAATATTTCTGGATTTATTGAAATGTTCAGATTTTGAGATTAAATGTTCAAACATCTAATTTTCAACCAGACTTCAAAATATTTGAGTAAACTTAAATTTGATCATGTTCTTGAAAGAACATATATAGCTCTGGAAAAAATTAAGAAAAAGCTTAAAAAGATCAGTTTCTCTGATTTTACTCTTCATAGGTATGTGAATTTATGTCTATATATATCTGTGTGTGTGTGTATATATGCAAATTATATATTATTTATGTTTAAATAAATCACTAAATATTTTATATTTCTCTTACACAATTAACATTGTCTCAGTTTAGCTTGCTGCACGTATCTAATGAACATGATGAGCATCACTGCACAGAATAAAATAACTGCTACCATAACAACTGCAAGCAAAACAACATTAATCTAAAATGATAGGCCCATTTTACCCCGGCATATTAAGCATAACAAGTTTACTGCTAATGAAATTTTTCTTCTCCAGAAACCCCATCAGAGTAAGATGGTCAAACTTGCTGTCCCTCGCCAGCACTACTGTTGAGCAATGCAGAAGATGATTAATGACTATGGGCAGTTAGCTGGCCCCTTTTCATTTTTGATGTTAAAAATACATTTAAGAAGGAGTTGAACTCCAGAAGGGTAGAAAAAAAGAACAGAACAATTCAGCAGTTCTGATGTAGAGCTTGTGCAGCTGTGGGATAAATGTAATGTGGTTTGAAGTAGGGAGGTCCTTTCAGCTCTGCAAAAAACAAATAAAAACAATAAAAAAAGGAAAAAGATGTACTGGCAAATCAGTGAAGTGTAAAAACTGCTTAATACGTTCATCATCATGTGCAATGATAGTACGTTTAAATTATTGTAAAGCTAGGTACTCTCTCACAGTACTACATTTTGCATGTTTTAGTCGAGTAGAGCATTCAAACCATCATAAAAAAGCCATATATTTATAATTTGTTGCAAGTACCTCTTTATCATTCTGGAGATGACATGAATTTTCAAAGTGGATTTTTCAACCCTGGATTATGCAAAGTCACCTTCATTAGCACTTCTGTGCTTTCTTCAAAGTAATGCAAAGTGAAAGTAATGAGTTTTTACCATGCATTCTGGCTCACATACTGTAATTCCCTTTTTGTCACGGGAAATAAAAATAATGGGTCAAACTAAGACCCTCAAGGAAGATTGTTGGTGCTTTCCAGGTCTATTTCAGTTATTGACCCATGGATTGTTCCTGCATGCAGCATGAAAAAAGAAAATCACCATGTAAACTGTTGACCTAACATTTTTTGTTTTATTTTTGTTCTTAGTAGAATTGTGTGCATGTCCTGTAAACATTTAAATGATAGATATGCCTCTTGTCACAACTGTATGTCAATTACATCATGAACTGGATAAATTGATAATACTTTTAATATGATCATGTACTGCCATCTCCAAATGTAATAATTACTGTGATCCACCAGATGGCAGAAGTGAGCTATTATTCAAAACTGTAAACGCACAGAGCTTAAAATTAAGTCTGACTAATCCTATGGTGTCACAAACAAAACTTCTCCAGTAAAAAAACAACAACAAATAGTTTAAGAGGATTTGTCCTTACCAACAGGTCAGGTTTTTGACGCCTTCCTTGATAATGCTCCTGATTTATTTCAGTAGGGCACATACAGTATATCTGAAATAGTAACAAAAAAATACACTCTCTCATTTTAGTAAAGACAGAATATGTGTTCCCCCTTTAAGTCCTGAAACAAAAGACATATCTGTAATAGAACATCCAACTATAGCTCCAGCATCTATGAAATATAATGTTTTCATGCATACCACAAGCCATTAAGACTCATGAGTGAACCAACAGAGAAATTATAACTTTTCAGACAGATTTAAGTTGCACTGTTTGCCTGTATTCAGCTCTATTCAGTTTTAAAGCCTGCGCCTGTATGTCTTCTGATGTAGTTGAAAAGGTGGCTGACGTCAAATCAAGTTGGCATGCCAACTCAGAGATCTGAGGAGCAGAGATGAAGAAAAAGAGGGTTGATCCTCTTTTCCTATTCCCACACATGCTACAGAATTATTTATCCCAAACATGAGCAATAAATGGATTAATAACAGACAGACCTTTAATCTTCTTAAATTTTCCTTTAGTTAAACAGGAAACCATTTTGAACAAATTCATGTCTAATTTCCTAAGGAGAGATTTTACATCCCATGCTTATTGCAAACAAGAAAAAAGATAAATTTGGCAAAAAAGTTAATAAGGTTTGCACATTATTGGGTTAAGTAGTTGTGTGGTAATCATATTAACCATCATCATCATTACTGTTGTGAGATCAATGCAATGCAGCTAATATTGGAGTAAATATTATAAACTTTTTCCCAAATTTCTAAAGTAAAGCTTATCTCTAAGCATGACAAAAAATTAGTAACTTTTGAGTTACAAAATTAAATTGCTGGTCCACTTCCACATTATTTACATTCTGGTCACAATATTCCTCTTGTTTAAATTATGTTTTTCTTTACTTATGGAAATATATTTATGATTCTTCTTTCATGAGCTTATAGAGCAATTGTATTTGAAAAACCGTGACCACAGACAATGGACAGGTCTGCCATTATCTGTACAGTTTTTTTTTTCTTTTTTGGGTGGGTGTGTGTGTGCGTGTGCACGGGTGCGTGTGTGCACGTGTGTGGGGGTGTGTGTGTATGAAATGTCCCTAAACCATCAATATAAGCATGTAATTGTTCATATCTCTATCCTTTTTTTTTTCTCAATGGTGCAATGAAGTAAAAACAAAATAATGTATGTTTATTGACCCTGAATTTCCCAAAAGAATTTAAAATACAAAAATAGATAAACCAGGACACAAAAATGCACTCAAAATAGATGCCAGCTTTACACCTACTATGGCAAAAATGGGAAATTATTTGGGGAAACTTACACAACAACATAAAAACATTAGACGGGGGTTGCCCAGGAAACCACCGTCGTCATGGAGACTGCATCACAAGGCGGAACCTGCTGAACGTCCTGCGTCTGTTCATCCACGCTGTACGTCATCACTGAGCACATGACACATTAGTCTGTGCTCATTTATTTATTTGAACCCAATCTTCTTTTTTCGCGCGATTTAAAGTGCTATTAACAGGCAGAACCACGATCTCTTAATTTCTGTTTTTATTCAATATAGGTTATATCAGTATTTCTGAATGAAAATACAGCTTTTAATTCACGATAAGCATTTTCCCTCTCCATCTCTAAACAAGACGGCCGAGTCCAACACGTGGACAGCTTCTTATATTAGATATAACCTAAACAGACACTTGGCTACATATATTACCATAATATATCAATATTTCTGGACAACGGAACTGGTCTTTCCACGAAGCACAACACGCTGTTTTTTTTATGGGCTGGCAGGAGTAAATGCTACACGTGTATCCCAACACGGACAACACTGCAATTATAACACCAAGATATGTAGGCATCATGTGGCGTTGTACCCTAAAACATATCTGTTTTAACAATACACTTATAAAGAGATTGCACAGTCAGTTGGATCTCTTAGGCCCATTAAGGTTTGTTAAAACGGACATCTAGAGCGTTCAGCCACAGATATGGACTGACACATCACGACTGGCTATACATCAACATTACAAGAATAGATCTAACATTTCTTTATGCTTCATAAATGATCCATTATGGGCCACTTTTACACGTCTGTGAAGATCTTTTTTATGTTCACGCAGTTCTGATTGGTCTCTGTTGTAAAGTTGGGCTGCTTGAACGCACTGCTGAAGCCTTCTACAATAACCATGTACTCTGATTTGCTGAGGGAAGAGGAGCTGCACGACTTTCTCTGCTCGTCGGAAGGGAGGTGCTCGCAGCTGCCCGTGTTAAGGTACTGCTGGTGCTCCTCTCCGTCCGTCTCCCGGTGGTAAAAGTAGTTGAAATTCGATACAATCACTGGCACGGGTAAGGCAATAGTCAACACGCCCGCTATTGCGCAAAGCGACCCCACTATTTTGCCACCAATAGTGACCGGATGCATGTCTCCGTATCCGACTGTGGTCATTGTAACAACTGCCCACCAGAACGCGTCAGGGATGCTGGTGAAACTCGACGAGGGGTCGTCTGCTTCTGCAAAGTAAACAGCGCTGGAGAAGAGGATGACTCCGATGAAGAGAAAAAAGATGAGCAAGCCCAGCTCCCTCATGCTGGCCTTAAGAGTCTGTCCCAAAATCTGGAGTCCCTTAGAGTGTCGTGAGAGCTTAAAAATGCGAAAGACTCTTACCAGTCTGATGACCCTCAGGATTGCGAGGGACATCGCCTGCTGACCGCTGTTTTTTTGGCTCTCGGCCAGCTCTGTCCCCAGAGTTATAAAGTAAGGAAATATGGCGACAATGTCAATGATATTCATTATGTTTTTGGAGAAAGTGGTTTTGCTGGGGCAGGCGAAAAACCTCACCAGTAACTCAAAAGAGAACCATATAATACACAGTGTTTCTATGATAAAGAATGGGTCTGTGAAGGGGTTTGGCACGTTTGGAGCAGTGCCATTCAATGTAGGTGCCACTGTGGATATATCTTTTTCATCCCGAAATTCAGGCAGAGTCTCCATGCAGAAAATTACGATTGAAATTAGGATCACAAGCACTGAAACGATGGCTATTCCTCTTGCAGGTCCAGAGCTTTCAGGATACTCAAACAAAAGCCAAACCTGCTTTTGGAAATCTTTTTTGGGCAGTACGCGCTCCTCCTCCTTAATAAACCCTTCATCCTCACGGAATTTCTCCATGGCCTCCTCCCCAAGCTGATAAAAGCGAATCTCCTCTGAGAAAATATCAATGGGGACGTTAACAGGTCTTCGAATGCGCCCTCCTGACTGGTAATAATACAAGATAGCATCAAAGCTGGGTCTGTTTCTATCAAAGAAGTACTCATTCCTGAGTGGGTCAAAGTAGCGCATCCTTTTCCTCGGGTCCCCGAGCAGCGTGTTTGGAAACTGGCTGAAAGTTTTGAGTTCCGTCTCGAAGCGTAAACCCGAGATGTTGATGACCACCCTCTCGCAACATCCCTGGCGGCTGCGCTCATATCGATCCACAGCCAGGTGAGGCGCCGAGAGCACGGCCGACTCCTCCAGCATGTTTTCCACCGTCATGACGTCCCTCTGCACCGCTCCATAATCCCCCTTCTCAACCGCGATCCTGCCGTTGTGTTCGGGTGAAGAAGGCGACTGTACAGCGCTGGGAGTATGCTCGTCCATACAGGTGTTTATTTTCAGTTTGGAAAGGCAGAGTGCGCCGCGTCACTCCCAGCCAAAGCTCACAGCTTTGGAGAGCTGAAGCGGACGCCACTTACATGCCTCCTAACCATCAACGGTCTCTGCGAATTCACAGGGTGAAGCGCAGCACTCCCTTCTGCTTTTCCCATCTTTTCCAACACGCCAACACCCGCCCACGGCGCGCATATGTCTGACATACGTCCACCACCCGCCCATCGGAAATTAACTTGACACTTAAGGCTGAGCAGTGACCCTTCCGTCTTGTTCACACTGGGTTCATGAAAGTTCGTTTTTAAATAGCTCGCATGGTATTTGTCACTTTGCGTGGCAATGACAGCTTAAAACAAGCTGAGTTTTTTTTCTTTTTGTTTTGTTTGATTGTTTTCTGTCAAAAACTCAAACGCCTGCCGCTTCATGACAAAGAAACATATCAACACGGATGTATTGTCATGTTGAACAATAAAATCAAACGTCTGTTTTGATAAACTGATGTCGTGTTTGTGTTGGAAAACCAAGGAAATGTGATCAGACTTTTTTGTGAATCAAATGAAAACAAAGTTTCCACAAAGCCAAAGTGTTTGTCTTTCAGCATGTATAAAACCCCTGTCAGCATTTCTTTTGTTTCGCTTGTTGTTGAGGGGGTGTTGCTCTCCATGGTGCTGAAAACAAACCCACACTCGCCTGTAAATCAATTCACGCTCCTCTCAGTGGAACTGTGGCCTTGTGTTGGTCTAAACGTGACACATTTCTAAAGCAAAGGCAAACAAGAAAATAAGTCACATCATTTCCACTCAAAAAGAAAACAAAATAGAAAAACGCTCAACACGCATGTGTTCTGCTCCAAAGAAGCATGTAGATTAAAAATGAACACTTCAATGAAAATATACAATTTATAGAGACCATCTTCATCAAGAAAGTTTCTCAGTAGTTTCATGCACTCAAGAATGCAAATTGTGCTCTATTGTGATTTGATTGCCACACATTTAACAATTTCTGCCTCTCTTATCTCCTAATTTAACCATATCTAGTACTTGATGAACATGCTAATAAATGTTCTGGTTTATGGACTGTTAATATGATTACATGGCATGTAAAATCTTCAGCTTCCATCATAACAAAACATTGTAGAACTAAATAATCTAAAATTATTTTATTCTAGTGTATAAAAGCAAGTATCATCTTGGCCTGAAAAATTAAAAGACACCACCTTTTTGTAATTTAATCCGACTGAATAAGAGAAGTAATGTAAGAAGCATCCAGCACACCCGTGGTACTTTTTGAGAAGTAAAAGAGCACAACTCAAGTGGGAAAACCCATTGACAAACAGTAATTCATATAAATGTGGCCTTTATAGAAGAGTGAAAAGACGATATGCTATGATACACTGTTTCGGGAAAGCCACAGTCATTAGTTTTTTGGGTTTTTTTATTTACTTTTGTCTTAAATCAAGGGTAATGCTCATAGAGAATCTGGCAGATGCTGCAAAATACTTGAAACTGGGATAAAAGTTTAACTTACAACAGGACAACTCACTCAATCATAGAGCTACAACTTCAATGGACATGTGTCACTAAAAGCATGTTCACTTTTTTAATGCCCAAAGTCAAGATCTAAATCAAATTGAAGACTTGACTTGGAGGGCATTTGTTTACAAATGCCCTCCAATCAATTTGATCGATCTTGAGCTGTGTTAAACAATATATGTATATATATATATTTTTCCAAGATGCACAATGTCAGTTGAGATGTAGTTGCTTCTGTAAAAGCAGAACAAAGCTGGTTCTACAAAGTACTGATTCATGGGGTTATAATGTATGTCAGGTTCCTTTCAATTCACAAGGTTGAGCTGCTTTGTTTTGGCACACCACAAAAAAATCGAGCAAAAATATAATAATGCAACAAAATCATTCAGTGAATGCCAGTACTTTATGATAGTTTCACAACTTTCAACAACTTTGTAGTTATCTGTGCAAATATTAGAATATGATCAGAATATAAATATCTCACAGAGTTGTCACAAATATTAAATTGAGTTATAGATGTAGAATAAATGTGGGATAATAAAAGGCATGAACCAATATATCACCAACTTATAAGAAAAAAAAACAGAGCGATGGATGAATATCGTTATGTCTGCATTTTCATCACATTTAAGAACCATTGTTATCAGGAACAGACAATGGAAAAAAAGACTTTTGTACCACTTACACTGTAATAACTTCTCACTTTTCACCACTGTGTCTGTGTATTACCATGAAAGTGACAAACAGAACTGCCTTCTTCTGAGCCTATTTTTAAATAGTGATTCCCCCTCCATCTCTCTTCATGATAAACAATGTTTGCACTCCAGTTTTGTCTCTGTCTTGTCTCAGCACTGCAACCCGACAGTGAGGTGACCTTTCTGTGCTCAGTTAGGTCTTCTAGGTCTTTTGCTATTAGCCACGCAGACCTAAACTCTGCCTCTTCCCAATTCATCCTTGTTAATGATACTGCAACATCTAAAGGGCATTTTGTACCACATATAGATAAATCTTTATGCAGCCCCTCTAAACAGCTGAATTAGGTAACAGAGTAAAGCCGGTATTATTTTCCAATATCATAAATACATTGACGTGCAAATATTATTACTACTATGTTAAAAAAAAAGTTCAGATTTTTTAAGAGTAGACAAATAATTGTGCTAAGAGTTTGTTTCATTCAGTTTTAATTTGTCATTTGTTAATTTGATGTGTTTTAAAAATCTTTAAATGAGATGAAAATATTAAATAAATACCCCCCACCAAAAAAAATAAAATAATCTAATCTCTACAATAATTACAGTTAGTGCAACAACTTGTAGTTTTGGAAAGTTCACAGGTTTCCTACGTAAAAAAAAAAAAAAATTGCAAACCAAATGAAGGTCCCTGCAACGTCTTTTGTAATGAAAATAAAAAAAACTGCACAGTTTTAGAAGGAAATAACCTTTCTTTACAAACTGATTCATACTAGCTTATAGTAATTTATTTTCTTTCTGCATAATTATCTATCATGCTCCCTGTTTTTTAACGTATTGATTTTAGTCAACATTGCCATCAAACCCTGTTGATAGATACATCAGGCTGTGCCTGTTATCTTCAGCTTCACAAATAATCTTCTTTAGGCAGAAATAAACTGTTTAAAAGACACATATAGATAAGTACAGTGTAGTTTAAAGTTGTTGAATTTGTTTCTCAACGATTTGGTTCATGATTAATGTGATCCCCGTCAAGACAAATTCACTCACAGCTGCGTGATGATGGCAAATCAAATTCAGTTATTTAGAAAAAACACTTTCAGTGAGGGAATAGTGCCGCTACAAACAACCTCTGCGTGGTTGCAAATCAGTGTGCATGGAAAGTTTTGTCTGGTCTCTCATCACCATAGCAACAAAACATCAAGTGTTTTGTAAAAAGAAAAGGAGTTCAATTGAAGAAGTTATATAATGTCCAGACCAACTCATGCAGCAGTAAGAAGACTGGAAACATTTTTTTTTATGTTCTTGCTGCGACTTGAACATGTTGCACATCAAGAATAAAAAGATGATTTGTGAGAGTGTGTCTGTGTGTATTTGTGTTTGCGTGTTTTGGCTCCAAGGTCTCTAATCGAAACCAGAAGAATTGGCTCGACAATAAAGAGCAGATATTAAAGCAAAGACCTTGGACAAGGTAGACACTTTTATTTTATGACAACTCACATTTAAGTGTGTCTGGCTGTGCACTCTTTCTCTTTTATTCCCATGTTCTTCAGCTGACTTCACTTTTCAAACATAATTGTTGAGATTGCTTAGTTTCAAACGACCTTACATCATATAAGAAGTGTGCTTTAATCTGTAGGAAGAATCCAATCTGAATGTCTGAAAAGAAAGTTGTGTTTTGATTTCTATGATGAAACTGAAAATGACAGGTCAATAAAAACAAGCAACAATAATCTCCTTTATGTTTTTATATAAAACAAATAATACTAAGAGAATAAACAAAAAATGACACAAAGCACAAAAAAAATCATTTAACCTTGTGGACACATAGTTATGTCTAGTCTCACATGCATTCGACAATTCTTAATAGCATTTTGATTACACAAGGTCATTTATTCTGTTCTCCCATCACTTTGCAGATTATTTAACAGTAGATAAAACAGGCCAAATACTTGTCCAAACCTCTGGAGCCAAATTCTACAAAAGATTGACTTTTTATCAATCTGGGAAGTTAAAGAAGGACCTATTAAATCTGTGAAGCTGTAATTTTTACCAACATTACAAAAGGCATTGTGTCTCTGGGCTTTTGAAAAAATAATCCCCTGCAAATGATCTGAACTGTAAGTTTCATTCTTCAGCCCTATAGATTGGGTCAAAGAAAAGGAGGACAGTTTCCATCTGCAGTGACAGAGCCTGGACTTCTCTAACTTATGAGCCACTGTTTTTTGTTTTTGTTTTGCTTTGTTTTTTCTTTTCTGACTTCTGGGTCTGGCTTACAGGCAAATACTGGGGGATCAATAAAGCCGGATAGAGAAACCAGCACCTATCGATCAGCTGTGCATCGGCTGTGTTTCCTGCCAATGCAGAATCATTACACTCTCACACTGTCCATTCTCACTGCTGTCAGTGGTCAAAAGGAAAGACAAGGTTATAAATAATGCAGCAACATTTCTCTGGAAGCCCATATCCACCTTTTAAAAAGTGGGATTAAATGAATGTTTTAAACTCTCATCTCTGCACCAGAAAGAAATTGTAATTTAAAGCATTTAAAAACTTTATGTTATAATCAGTTCTATGAAAGAAAAAGAAACAAAAATGTTACATGATGGGTTATTTCTCCAACATTCTTTCTTCACCAAAATTACAAAAATGGCCTAAGATTTATTGTAAAAAATTTATTTTACCCCTAATTTCAGGGTGACTAAAAGAAATGTGTCATTTTATACAAATACCTCAGAGAACAAGAAGGTATAAATTACTAGAAAAGTGGCAATAACATATATGGTCAACCTTAAAAACTAAATCATATCAGAATAGTCCATTATCTAAGAAATTTAAGTCTCTATTTCAATTGTTTAATTTCCAACAAAGAATTTGTTTGAAGGGATTCATGCATTTTTCCTAGAGGTGGTTGTTGCATACAGGGTGCATGTGATAACTACAGTGAATTGATAAGAAAGTCATTCCAAATTTATCATAACTAAGCTTTACCACTGGCTTTGTCATGTGCATAATATTGGTATTTTTTATTGCTTTAAAAGATTTTGGCTGCTGAAAAAGAAATGCATAATTATAAATGCAAAACTTGAGCATGCAGCAATTCTTCTCTTACTTCAGCACTTAATCTGAGACCAAATGTAATTGCGTATATTTCTTAAAATATAAGTTTTATGTTATT